AAAGAGTGGACAGGCTGGCTTTGATATGAAACCACGAGATTCTGTTGAGACTCAGAATGGTACACTGAGGGAATACGGGTTTGCCTTCACCACTCCCTCCTCCCTGCCTGCTCAGGTGTCAGAAAGCTCTTAGTCCAAGTTATGAGAAGCCCTTGCAAAAAGAGAAGTACTCAGCATCCCAGAAACAAAATGACTTGCAGAGTGAAAAGCCCTGCACAGCTTCCACTGGTACACTGCACAAAGAAAATGGCCAGAGAAGGCCCTGGGAAGATCTCAGCCATTTCAGGCTCCAGACACTTGCTTTTCTCCTGAGCACTTTCATGTGCACATCTCGAGAATTCCTACAACCAAGGAAAGAAAGCCTCCTGTCCAAGCTGCAGACCAATCAAAGCCACGTTGTTTTGCTCACAAAAAAAGAGGGTCTTCACTAAGGCACATCTGGGCTAACCATCAATACTAGGCTTTTCTCTTCAAGTGTCCACCTTGTCTCTGATGGCTACTGAGGTCACCACTCAACATTCCATAGTCTGGTCCTAGTGGAAACTCCAGTCGTTCATTAAGTTTCAGGGACTCTGGGAAGAACAAGAAGCAAGACGAGTGACCAAAAGGAAACACTGAAAAACAACAGCTCTTTCTGGGGTCCTTGACCATCATTCCAACACTAACAGTGATAATCACTACCTTGTGCCTATTTGGAAACAGGGTCTTCATATCTAAGCAGGGGCCTGGCAGTGTGAATTTAGTTGGTCTTTTCCGATGTGTTCCTGGCACAGTACATGCAAGCTAAGCTCTGCAATTAAAAGCTCAGCTATTTTTGGCTCTGCCCTCACACTGCATCTCGGCAAGGGCCAAAGCACTCCCAGTGCTGTGCAGATCTCAGATGGGATGATGCTGTGGGCACAGCATGGCCACACCCAGCTAAGTAGTACAGCAGGTCCACCCAAAGCAGGGCTCAAATCCAGGCCAGGGAAGCCGGCAGCTACCATCACTGAGTAGAAAGTCGTTGCCTCATCTGAACACCCTCTCCTCAGACCCAAAGCTTAAGGAGCTGCTACAAGCAATGAGAGGTGAGGTTGATGGTGAAGGACAATGTGAGACTGGGATGACCTTGGCATGAATGTTCAGGCACCTCTTCTGACTCTTGGTCCTAGTTGCTAAGAACAGTTATAGAACTAAAGATGAGTATGACAAGTGTCCATAAAACGCTGAGGTTTTAAATGGGCAATTCTGGTTTGACATACTAAGAAATGGAGTAGTTACAGGACTAATTATAATATCCCAAGGACTGAAGGATTTGTGGGATCCAGAGCAGAAATAGTTTTTAATTTGTCTCCTTTTCTAGAAGTCATCAAAATCCTTTTGGCCACAGATTTTAAGAATTATCCTCTATGCAGGGAAATTGAATATCTGGGAGATAAGTGATTTTGCTTTTCAAAACAGAAATGTACACCAAATTTAAGAAAAAGATGCATGTAATGGGTCAATAAAAGTGTATAGTAATTAAAAACCCAATGGAGAATTTTTCTGAACCATCCATGTAGCTCTTCAAAAATATCCTGAGAAAAGACCTGGCATGAAGCTCTGCCCTCAGGTGGGTGAGCATAGCTCCTGGCCTTGTCTACCAGTGAGTTTCTTCAGGATGAAGAAAGAAATGCTTGTTTTCCAAGAGTGCTGAATCAGCCCTTCCCAATTTCCAGACCACACTGAGAAGGAAGCTGCCCAGAGAAGTGTCAGAGGCAAGCCTGGGACTATGAACAGAATTGCAGGCCAGGGGATAGGGGACAACATGCCTGATTCCCAACTTCCATGGGCTCCAGTGGGGACATGAGGAGTGGAGCTCAATCTTCAGGCAGCTCCTGTTGATTTCTTGCTCTCATTTTCCCCCCAATAAAGACAGCCAGAGCTTCCTCAGCCAAGTCTGTTCTTGACTCCAGGGAGTCCCAGACCCTTTCAAAACATGCTGGGGCAGATTCGATCTGTGAACATTTGCACCACCAAATGAACTGCTCCCAGCTTTTTCTGAAGCCCTCAGGAAAGGACAGGAGACTAAGTCTGCAACCCGAGCAGCAAAAGGACCAGCTTGCCCTGTGAAATCAGTACTAAATGCTGAGCACTAAATGAGCCAGCCGGGAGCTTATCTGCCACGTGGAGCCAAAGTGACAGTGCTTTTGAAGTGAGGTGGGGTTTACATTCCAGACCATTCTCTTTACAAAAGTCCAGTGTTGCTAATTCAGAGACAGGCACTTAGACTCTTGTAAGGTATGTCTCTCACACATGCCTCCTTGCCCCCAGAAAGAAACTCGAGATCCTATGGTTCTCCTGTCCTAAAACATCCCATTACCTTTGCCTGTCCACCTCTTTCTGCCTACCTGCAACATAGCAGATGCTGACCTGTGGGTCATCACAAAATCACTGCCCACGGTAGTTTACTCTTGCCGGCTTAAAAAGGAGCCCAATTAAGCACTGGTAAGTGGGTCAGCACCCATGTCCAAGTAGACTTCAGTTCCTTCCAGAGGACATTCTCCCCCCTCTTCCTGCGGAAGTTGTACCTTGTGGAGCTTGTCAGCATTGTCGTAGTAACCCTGAAGCTCTTGGTGAAGCACCCGGTTCTCCTCTGTTAATATTTCCACCATCTGCTGGGCTCGCTCCACAATAGCAAATGCATCTGGACCAAGCTGCTGGCTGGGGGAAGCTGCGGGCGGGGGTGGTGGAGCCGCCAGGGTCATCGGAAGTGGAAGTGGCAAGGACACGGAGTGCAGTGGTCCACTGACAGAGGAGGTCTGCGAGGACATGGGGCTGTGCTGCTGCACTGTCGACGGGAACGGGAGTTGGCATGGGCGGCTGCAAAGGAACAGAGACCAGCAGTCAGAGCCCCAGAAGTGGTGGGCACCAGAAGGAAGCCCCAAGGATGGCTTCACAGTGCTCAGGGACCATCACAGCACCTCATAGCAGGCTGTCACCCACTTCACAGATAGTGACTGTGTTCCCCTTCTGATCAGCATTGTCAACTGGGAGTATAGTGAACAAGAGAGATCAGGTTCCCGTTCTTAGGAAGCCCACATGCTACAGTGGGATAAGCAAGGCATCAAACAATAAACAAAGGCAAATACCAAAAAGGAATAGTAACCTCCAAAGCATACAATAAAGTGACTTGATAAAGAATCACTGAGCGGCTACTTCCTACTGAGAGGGAGTCAGGGAAGGAATCTCTGAGAAGCAGAGGTCTGAGCTGAAGTCTAAATGACAGATGAGAAGGAACCAGTGATTCAGACAGAGGTGGTTCAGAGTAAAGTATTCCAGATAGGGTGCTAGCTATCTATCGCACAGGGACCTAAGGCAAGAATTGGCAGTGGCACTAACAAGTGGAGAAAAGTAAGTTGGTACACAGCATAGACAGCAGCCAGCCGTGCAAGGTAAGGCTAGAGAGGGAGGCAGGCTTTTATGAGCCTTTTAAGACCAGACTTCCTGTTAGGGTGGAAACAGAGGCCAGGGGAGGTTCTGCCTTTACTGAGCGGTGTGCAAAGAATGCAGTGCACGGTGGCAAAACAGATGGACAGAGCCCAGGGAGGACGCCTCAGTGAGAACTGAAGAGAGCAACCAGGGCAGTGGCAGAAGAGAAACAATTAGGGGAGCTGGGACTTGTTTTATATACAGTTGTCATCGCTTATCATGGTGACTTTCCAAGATCCTCGATTAATTCCTGGAACCACAGCTAGCACTAAAGTTTTCCTATATGCACATACATATGATCAAGTTTAACTTATAAAATTAGGCACAGAGAGTAACTATACTAATCATAAAACAGAACAATTATAACAATATACTGTAATAAAGTGGTTGGATGTTGTCTCTCTCTTAAAATATCTCATTGCATCATGGGCACTTGAAGCCACAGAAAAGTACAACTGCAGGTAAGGCAGGACTACTGCACATGGGGAGAAAGAAAGTGTGGAACATATAAAATTACTTGTAGATCACAGGCTCTATGCAAATTAACAGGGGTACATTTAATGAAATGAGAAAGTCTCAAGGGAGAAACTTTTATTTTGTTTTGCTGAGGAGGGAGAAATCTGGAAGTCCAGAGTCTAATTTTTGTCCTGTTAAAAATAACACAGAGAGGTACCTCTTGATGGCTCGGACTCCTGCTACAGCTCCTATTTCCCAGCATGAATTTCCATCTCTGTCTCCACTCCCCAGTAATTCCCTCCTTACTGTTCTGCTGACCTGTTTCCTAAGAATCAGTGTGTTCTTCTTTCAGCCTAAGCCCAGAACGCCTATCCGTAAATTTTACAGGTAAAACAGCAAACATGGTCTCAATGTCTGGTTCTCCGATCACAGCTGCCTCTCTTCAGCAGGCTTCGGAAAACAAATATTCTGGTTTGCTTCTCAACCTGTAGGTCTCGTCTGGAAATTAGAGGTGAGGTGCCAGGAGTTAGCAGGAACCCCAAATCATTGACATTCTATATCAAAGAGTTGAGTCCTTTGCAGATCCAGCCACTAGACAGTAGGTGACATGTGTCACCTTCGATTACTTATGGTCATTCATAGCCAAAGCTCTCAGGGCTATCAGTTTTCTGGGGAAATCTGGCCTTCTTTTTGGCTTTAAGTAAATTTGCTGGAATATTTTTGAACCCATTGAGCTTTCATATCCTCCATTTCATAAGCATTTCTCTTTGTCAGGATTCTTCTGAATGCCAGTTTCTAGCGCTAAATGTCAAAGTCGAGGAGAAGATAGATGAGGGTTACCTTAGCCCTCCCTAAATGGGTGTGCAGCAGTTCATTAAGATGATCTCAGAGTAAACCCAGCAGATCCTAACAGGGTGACTAACATCAGAGCATTCCACTAGGGCTTGGAAAGTACCTCCCTATAAAATCTCCTTCTGCTTTCAATCTATCAATAGAAGCTCCTTCCACTGCACGTTAAAATAACTGCAATCTAAGTTCCCAGGTGAGATGAAGAAAGCTCCATACAATGCTGTTTTTTGGTTTTGTTTTGTTTTGTTTTGTTTTCATTCCAAGAGGGCAAGTGCGCTGGCCAGAGAGAGAGAGACAGGGAGACAGAGACAGGAGGAGGGGGAGGGAGAAAGAACCCCCCAATAGAATGTGGTGTTTTGTTTTGTTTTCATTCCAAGAGGGCATGTGCGCTGGCCATAGAGAGAGAGACAGGGAGACAGAGACAGGAGGAGGGGGAGGGAGAAAGAACCCCCCAATAGAATGTGGTCACTCACAATCCCTTCTCCATTTCTCCATCCTGTCGGGATTTTAAGTACGCACATACATGTGTCCTGGCATGTTTTTCAAGCTGCCAGGGACAGCTGGCCATGTGGGATCACTAGGCTCTGCACTAGGCAATGGGGCTGGCCCTCGATCTAATTCTTCTGTAAGCTTTTCCTTTCGGAAAGATTTCAGAAAGGAATGTTAGCAATCTGAGATGTAAACCATTTCTCCTCCCTCTCTCTACATACCTATCACATAAACAGGCCAGGCCACATCTCTTTGAACATAACATACGTCTACATTTTGAGGAATCTGTGCACCTTCCACACAGAATTGTGAGTGAGTGTATGTGTAGTCCTGTGTGCACAAGAAGGTCCTACCCCATCTCCAGTGTGAGATGTCCTCAGGTCCCATCCCCAACACCCAGCTTTCCCCCCAGGTCACAGGAATTCCTGTCAGGCATGGACCCCAAACACCACAGATCTATTATTAGATATGTGCTTTCTGCAGGCTGGCTAAATCCTACAATGCACTTTTCATGGAAGAAGGTTACCCTTGGCAAGAGCCAACATACCATAAATGACACCAATGCCTTCGATACAAAAGCAGACACCCTGCCACCTCCTAAGTGTTCCCTTCACACTTCACTCAATGAGAGGGATAAACACAGCTCTTCTAGGGAGAGGGGGGTAGTTCTCAGAAGCATCAGGGCAGCTTCAGGGTGAGGCTTCTATCTTTTAACATTTATTTAATTCGGATTTGGTGGTCATTTAGGGTTAAGAGTAGGCTTATCTTCTTAGTTATCATATCTTATTATGCAATAATTACAAAGAAAACCAAGAAGAGAGGCAGCACTCAGGTCAATGTTTTCTTGATACAGCCTCAGTAATCAATGATGATTTAAAAATGCAGAAAAGGCATGTTTTCCAAGTTTAAGGGAAAAAAAGGAGCCTTTTCAGAATGGGAAGTTTTCTATCAGAGAGGACTGGCCTCACAGCTCTAATACATGTTTTCATGTATGAAAAACAGGAATCAAAAGAGTTGCAGAGCCATATCTAACCATTGGACTATGTTGTTATTTGTCCTCTTGAATTTCTATATAAATAGAATATAAATATTTCATATACATGTGTCTTTTCTTCCTAACTATTAGTGTGCAAGTTTTGTAAGGATAGAGAATGATCATTTACACAGTACTGAGTTGGCACCAAATAAAGTTTTGTCAATTGACTAAAGTTCCTAAGTCCAGGGGCAAGTTAGACCATATCTGCTTGATGGATTTTCAAATAGTAGATAAAACTCCAACATCATATTAAGCAAGATATCGCTGCCATTAAGATTTTTTTAAAGGATTATCTATTTATTCATTCATTTGTTTTAATTTGACCAGAGAGAGACAGAGAGGGAAATTGAGAAGGCAATCCACCAGGACTGAGACTCAAACTGTGGTCAGCCATATGGGAGTGTCCAGCACTTTAATCACCACACCACCAGCTGGCCCTGCCATTAAGACTTGATCTGGGACTAGAAGGTGTTATGGTAGTTAAGGCACTAGACTCCCACATGGCTAACCATGGTTCGAGACCTGGACCTGGAGGCATGCTTTCCCACTTTCTCTCTCTCTCTCCCATGAGCATGCATCCCTATAGCAAATTTAAAGTAATAATAATAATGATAAATAAAATAAAATAAATAACTCTTAAAAAAAGAAAAGATTTGATCTGGTTACTGTAGGTGGCCAGAATCATGAAACTGCCAATAGAATAACAGTTCCATCACATTGCCATTCTTCTCATGTGTTTGGGGTCACAAACTTCAGCTCGACACTGGGGTGATGATGTTATTTGGACTGGGAAGAAAGATCATTAGTGTCATCTAATCGACAGTCCATTTGCTCCTCTGCATACAACAAGCCTTCATAAATAAACACACACATTTAATCTTACATTTTTTACAGTGTGCCTATAAATAAATGTGCCATGAGTAGATAGCACTATATATCCACTGTGTCACTGAGTTCTCACAGGCTGAGACATCCACTCCCCTCACTCTGCATGTTGTATTATCCTATTCTATAAGTATGCAAATTAAGGCTAAGAGGATGAATCAGATCTCCCCGACCAGACAAAACAAAAAACAACCCTTGAACCACATCAGATGTCTCTCATGTTGGCTGGTCCTTAATAATCTCTTTCTTTTGTCTTAAGAGTTGAAATCTGGTTCTCCTTCTCCAGCCATGTAACCCTAGAAAAGTTTTTAGCCTCTTCTTTACTTTCAAATGGTGAAATAATAGTACTGACCTCATAGAGTCACTGTGAGAATGAAATGAGATGATGCATATAAAGCATTGTGCTTAGTGTCTATCTTCAGGAAAGCATTTAATAACTTAGCCTCTATTGTGTTTATGCTATAGAGCCGATGTGCTCTCCAGAGAGAGAGAAGGGTGGATGGCCATACCACAATCTCTTCTCCTCCTTTCTCTTCTCAGGATTTTGGGCATGCACGCACATGTGCTTGGCGTGATTTTCAAGGTGCCAGGTCCAGGACTCAAATCGCGGTGGGCCATGTGGGAGTCCAGTGCCTCAGCCATCGCTATCTGCTTCTGTTCTTACCATACACTGCTT